GGGGGGGACAGAAGAGTGCTTCAAAGACGAAGGTAGAAAAAGGTGAGGTGAGTACTGTGAAAGTAGTCGAATATGACATACAATGGGGTGAGGGTAGTTTGAAGTGAGAAGTCAACTGCCAGTTAATAGACTTTTTTGCCGTATGAATATACGTTGCCCAGGGTGCACCACGTGGAGGTAAGTCTATCGCACACCCCAAGCCAGTAAATATAATATCTACTTATGTTGATAAGTAGCAACGTTTGGGTTTAAGTAAAAGAATTCATCATTTTAGAGCAATTTAGCGAATATCTTCTAAACCTCCGAGTTGTGAAGCAAGAAATTATAAAGCCCTTTATTGGAACTGAACCAAGGAGGACAGCTTAACTCGATTATAGTAGGTGGTTAATAGACTATGATAGTGGTTGACGATCCATAAGAGATCAATATTGAGGAAAAACGGTGATCCAAGGTTAATCAAAAACACTTTAGAACTGAAAAAATTAGAGAGAAATGCTAAGAGCCAAAGTCTCTTTGAAATAGTGACGGCATATGAAGAAAAACATGGCCCATGCAAAGTTTGAACAGGCGCGAATCAATCACTCACCTAGATTTCGTTCTAGATACCTCTTCCAGTCCACCCGACGGTGTTTTATTAATAGAAATCGCTTCTAATAGAAGCTGATTGATAAGAGTGCCCAGTTGACGGGCGACAGAGGCCAAGGGTTGAAGAGCATGCAGTAGAACAAGGTCAGAAAAATCGTCATCACCTTCTGAATCCAGGAGGGTGATGAAGAAGAGCATAGTCGATTCCAGCAGTTCCTCCATGCCTTCAATATCTAAAGAGAAGACAGGGCGATATTTAATTCGACTACCACAACTAACGTGAAACCTTACTAGAAAAATAAAAATTAGCATCTGTTTTAATTACTATGATCACAGAAATGCAAAGTGAAAAGAACATTCTAAACACACTCAACGTCAATTATTATCTCAAGAGCGGGGTGTGCGATGGACGTACCTCCAAGTGGTGCACCCTGGGCAACGCATACTCACACGCCAAAACAGTCTATAAACCGGCAGTTGACTTCTGACCCCATTGTATGTCATATTCGACTAATTCCACGGTACTCACATCAATTTTTTTCTAAATTTTCTACCTTCGTCTTTGAAACACTCTTCTGTTCCCCCTCTCGACTTTTCACTTTGATGTTCCTCCTCCCCTCTGTCAAGCCTGAAGTCAACTAAAGGGCTAATGATAACCATCAAAACGCCTACCATTTGATATAAATAAATTATCTCAAGAGCAATACTCCTAAATACTCCTATTATAAACAAAGCTACTAAACTATAGCAAGCAGTAACTGCAAATTAAGCAAACTCATAAGTATGCTTTCACCTACTTCCTTAAACGCCTGTGCTCCATAAATAGGCCCCTTTATTTATTTTTTGACCTTTGACCCAGTCACCCTGGTTTGGTTGTTAGAAGACTCTGGGATGGTGTTTTACCTAGCCCACCTCTCTCCGCCATCACTTGTCATCAAATGGATATATTGTAACTAGTACAAAGTAACACTTGAATAATGAGGATTAATAAAAGAATTGGCAGCAGACGTACCGATTGTCAGACAGTTGGCCAGCATAATGAGAAAACGACGATCAGACAAGAATACTTGCTTTTTGGATGAAGGATTAGACGATAGGAAGAGTATAGTCTGAAAGAGGCGCAAAATTCTGGCAAACATTGACGCTATATGTCTGGCCGCAGTCCGACTCACAATGGGTGGGGCAGGGCATTTTGAAGGAAGCCAATCTAATAATGCTAAAAAAGTGAGAAAATGAACTGTAGGCGATCTTGAAGTGATTGCAAGACAGTTCAAATATCGATACCTACCGGGATTGATCAAACTCTTGAAAGCCTCGTAGAGTTTATACTTCTCAAACTGATGCAACATGAAGTCAATTGGGAGAATATGACAGAAATTTATAAGAAAACTGGAAATTCGATCTATTAGAAGAGGAGTTGAAAAGACCCCGGAATTCTAAAATTGACAAAACAGATCATTTTAAAATGAAAAAATATATATATATTCTCCATATATGTGTATAGAAAACTAACTTCAATTTGTTCCATATTATTCTTCCCCTTGTAGCTTTGGAATATTGGAGTAGGTTGGTAGTTATTCAGCATCTCAGATAGGAGAGAAAAAAATCGATATTGTTCCAGCATGTGCTTGAGGGCATCCGAGCCGACTACTTGTGTCTGTAAATCGAAATTAACAAATATGGAAACAAACTCCACATGGAAGAACAAAAAAGAACAGAGGTTATTCAACGTACTCCTGTGCGAGAGTCAGTATAAGAGGGCACGGGATAACAGTTTGGGCCTTGGTGTCTTGGAATGATTGCAATGAGGTTTGTAAGTAAATGAACAGCTGCTGATTTCGTTTTCGGGGATTCAGCTGAACTGGTTAATATAATAAATGCCATATTCCAGGGATCACAAGATCTTTCTTGGATAGCGGAAGGCAAGGAAACAAGTTGAGCGAGAATGGTAAGTGACAAAAAGCGTACCTAAGAGAATATTCCAAAAGTTAGAAGCCACTATTTCAGGATAGGAAGTAACGAATTCCTCCATTTGACCTTACCTCGCTATTTTTATCCTTGGAAATCAGTTCGAAAACCAATGACGTAAGGCTCGAATTTTCCAAGAATTTACCTGATTTCGTCCAGTTTTGGAAAGTTAATAGTAACACAGCATTATGCAAAAGCTTCAAAGTAGGATAAAGAATTCCATTATGCGGGGGAAAACTTTGCTGAAGATCCAAAATTTTCTGAATTAACTTCTCGATAAGTTGGCAAATTTCGGTGAAAACGGGTTCTGTTCGTTGCACACCAAGAATCCATGAAGGTCTAAATAAACCCGAAGTGATTAATTTAAAAGGCAAAGTAAAATAACTAGGATTTTTGATTAAAGTGTCTACCTCTGAGTAATTCGCTGAAGAATGTTGACTACCGAATGCAAATAAGCGAGGCGGTCAGTCAGGGAGTCAAAATGAATTTCCACGACTTTTAGAGACCATTGGAAAAGAAAGTGAAGCGCTTCAAAATTGTCACATTTCCTAAACAAAAAAATATATTGTTAGAAAAATTAAAGAAGTGGACATTTAGAAAGATCAATAATGACATGTTTGGGGTGTGGGATGGACTTACCTCCACGTGGTGCACCCTGGGCAACGTATACTCACACCTTACCTCCACGTGGTGCACCCTGGGCAACGTATTCTCATTCGGCTACCTCCACGTGGTGCACCCTGGGCAATGTATACTCATACACCTCCACGTGGTGCACCCTGGGCAACGTATACTCACGATAGACTTACCTCCAGGTGGTGCACCCTGGACAACGTATACTCAAACGGCACCTCCACGTGGTGCACCCTGGGCAACGTATGCTCACTTCAAACTACTAAATCTATTAACTGGCAGTTGACTTCTGACTTCAAACTATGCAAAATTACATTTACCGACAGTTGACTTCTGACTTCAAACTGCCACTTTATTATTCGGCAGTTGACTTCTGACTTCAAACTACCAAAAGTCTATTAACTGGCAGTTGACTTCTCACTTCAAACTGCCATCACCCAACTTCAAACTGCCCACGTGGTGCACCCTGGGCAACGTATATTCATACGGCAAAAACGTGGTGCACCCTGGGCAACGTATACTCATACGGCAAAAAAGTCTATTAATCGGCAGTTGACTTCTGACTTCAAACTACTATGGCCCTACAATCTGTCATATTCGACCCTTTCCAAAGTGCTCATTTTACCCTATTTATGCCTTTGTGTCTGACTGTCCGTCTCTGTTACATCTGTGAATCACTATTCTGTTCCCCCTCTCGACTTTTTGTCACTTTGAAGTTCCTTCTCCTCTCTGTGAAGCGCCGAAGTCAGCTCCAAGGCTAATGATAACTATCAAAACGCCTGCCATTTGATATAAATAAATAATGACATGTTTACATAATTTTATCGTTGATGTTGCGGAGGTCTTACCTAAATACGCTGGGTTTTCTGTGTGTACTTTTATATCCGTCTTACTTATATTAAAATCAGGAAACATAAATCAAAATTTATTTTAAACAGCAATTTGGGCATTACTAAAAGAATAGCTACACACAGATAATAATATTTACCAAGGAATTTCAGGTTCAACATGATCTACTGCGTAAAACTGCTATCCTCAATTGCTTAATACGAGAAAATTTCTCATAACTGTCTCCGACAAGTCTACTTTACCTAAAGGGAAAATTACTCTCTCAACAGTTTGTTAGTAATATATAATTTACTAGGGAATCTCATTGATTTTAAAAAATTGAGTCTTCGGTCCTAATTTAACTTACTTCAAATAAATCTCAACATTGTTTGGCGAGTTCCCTCCACTTAAGGCAAGTTCGCCATTGCGAAAGTAGTCCTGACAAGCCAATAGGGCATCAAGGAGGGAGGGGATAACGCTGAAATGGAGGGATTGCTTTTCCACCACTAACCGTGGACTGTCAGTGCTCCCTACACCGGCATCAAATCTTCGCATCATGTAGACCAGAACCGAATTTGGAGTTACGATCTCCTCTAGCAGCCAAGCGCAAGCCTATTTGCGAAGAGAAAAAAAGAGGAAGTCAAAGTAGAACAAGATCATTTCGTTTTGCTTCTGCAATATCACAACCAATAGAGGAGAAAAGAGGTCTGTATTTCATATCACCCGGTTGTTTTGCAAAAAAATCAATACGACCAAGTGCGAATTCACCAATCAATCTTTAAAAATCTAAGAAATACTAGAACTAAGAGGGATATTAAAAGCAGAGGAAACTATCTCTAACCAATCAAAAGGCATATTTTTAATGGTTTGACCTTTAATAGAAACGTTGCTCACTTCAAGCGAATGATGGTTTAAAAACGGTGGAGAAAATTCAAAGGTTATAAAAGTTTGAAAGCATTGAATGAGTAGACGGTAGTCCTCCGTGCAAGAGGGTAGAACACGAAGGAATCTCTGCAAATCAGCTTCTTGCCACCAAAGATGGTGATCATTGATAAAAGTAGCAGATGCTTCAGGAGTTCGCATAAAGGCAACTTTGAGTAGTGTCAAGTAATTCAAGCTTGAGGTAGCTTCGCTGTGAGACTTCGAAGTACGAAGACGTCTTAGGGTGCTTTGAACGGCAGTAGTGAGATTGGCACTCTCAAGGAGGGCCGATTCAGTTCGCGTCATTTGCAAGATTGGATCACTAAAGATGAAAGAAATATATAACATATACTACTTGCCAGTGATTTTTCCGATGACATCATGCATCTCCGATATCATGATAAATAGGCGTAAGCCCTAATACCTAGGCACTTAAAACTATACCACCTAATAGCATGCATTAGTACCTGTGTGCTTAAATCTTATTAACAAAATTAGGGCACAAAGGTCTATTAACCGGCAGTTGACTTCTCACTTCAAACTACCATCACCTCACTGTATGTCATATTCCACCACTTCCATAGTACTCACCTCACCTTTTATCTACCTTTATGTCGGTCTCTTTTACATCTTTAAAACACTCTTCTGTCCCCCCCCCCTCTCGACTTTTTTCGATTTGATGTTCCTTCCCCTCTGTGAAGCCTGAAGTCAACTAAAGGGCTAATGGTAACCAACAAGACGCCTGCCATTTGATATAAATAAATATCAACAAAATTAAGTTATACCTGTAGTGCAATTGCAGACTTACAGAACCAGTACGTCTTCGATTCCTTCAGCAGAAGATTTCCAAATAACTCTAAGAGCTCGAACTACAGCTACAGTCAATGCGCGATTCCGTTGTGAAAGCTCGGAAAGTCTGTTAACATTCTCAATTTGTTGAAGCAGGGACGATAGATCGGGAAATTCAATGGGATGCCGCGATTGTAGAGAGTAGAATGGACAGGCAAATGGTAGACAGAAGGAAGTAATAATCGCTGGAGGTAGACAGATCGATGATCTGAAATGGGAAGAGAGAATTAATGCATGCCAATGTTATTTTTTCAACACTCAATTGCGATTTAAATACATTCAAAGTAAATTGTCATCTCAATTAATCTTGCCTCTCACACAAATGAATTCATAATGATAATATCAATACAGAGTAAAATTGAAAATAACATACAAATAGTAAAATAAAGAAAAGAATAAAAAGAAAAGGTGAAGGTGAAAAGAGAACTGAGGCTCATCTATAATTATAAGTATGGGGTGTGCGGTAGACTTACCTCCACGTGGTGCACTCTGGGG